CCCTCTTTGTTCCCAGTGAGTCAATATAAAAACAACCAGCTGCAGCGTACCTGTTGTTTGGATGGCATGAAGGAAACCCTTCTCAGCTACACGTGTGAGAGGCGCAGCGAGTACATCAATGATGGAGACGCTTGTGTCACAGCGTTCCTGCGCTGCTGCAAGGAGATGGAAACCCAGCGAGCTGAGAGGAAGGAGGACAGCCTGCTACTGGCTCGCAGTAAGACGGGGACATGGGAGGCTGTTGAGCTCTGGGGTTACTATCCGTGGTCATACGGAGTGAAAATAGTGACATTTTTAATGACACTTCAGGTGAGGAGAATGACAACAGTTACATGGACAGCAACTACATTGTTTCTCGCAGCAAGTTCCCTGAAAGTTGGCTGTGGTTAGACATCGACCTGCCTGCTTGTCCTGATCAAACACCTAATTGGTGAGTCAACTTAATATGCACACAGACAAAATACTGATTTAAAACTACCCTTCACAAAGTGTTGACTCCCTTATTGTTTTTTCTTCAGTGAGACCACATCAGTCACAAAAAACGTTGCTTTGCAAGACTCAATCACAACCTGGGAGTTGACTGGCATTAGTCTGTCAAAAACTCACGGTATGGATTCAGTGACTGGAATCTGTAAATCTATCCCATCTAGCTCTCTCTGCCCGTTGTGAACGTTCACGTTTTTGGTGCTTTTATTCCTCACATATTAAAGGAATCTGTATTGGCGAGCCGTTGGCGGTAATTGTTCGGAAAGAATTCTTCATTGATCTGAGGCTGCCGTACTCTGCTGTCACTGGAGAGCAGCTGGAAGTCAAGGCAATCCTCCACAACTACAGCCCCGATATCATCACCGTAAGTCTGTGTTCCTCTGCTCTGGTGTTTCATGCAGAGCTGTGAGGATTTCACATACTTGAACCCAAAAGCACAACTCTGAAACAGAAATGCACGTGAAGCTCTCTACTAGTTTCAGGCAGGATCAAAACCAGGAGGTCAGTCCAACAGGCAAACATGTCCGAAAAGGGGGGCACACAGAGATCCTAGGTCGATTAGACCCGCAAACAGGGTCGGAACAGGTAGCGTGGGAACGATAACGGGCTACGCTGGAGAGCTTAACAATGACAATCCAGCAGAGGACAAGCGTAAGTGAGAAGTGAGGGACTAATAAGAAGATGGGCTGCAGGTGAGAAGGGCATGAGGACCAGGTGAAGGGAAAGAGAGATGATCTGCTGTGGATGACAGAATGAGGGATGACAGGAGAGTTCATTAAACAAGCAGGCAGGATGAAAACTAACCAATGAGCCAATGAGATTATTTAAGCAATTTCAGTGCAAAGACAACAATGCAAATATGACTCACTTACAACAAGGTGGGTGACTAAAATAAATCGGATCCCTGTTATTTGCTTGTTGGGGATCTCATCTTTGATCAACTACAGACACTTGAGACTATTCTCTTCGTCCTGTTTTCCAGGTGCGTGTGGATCTGATTGAGGCGGCGCATCTGTGCAGCGCAGCTTCTAAGCGTGGAAAGTATCGTCAGGAGGTCAAAATAGGGCCACAAACTACACGCTCTGTGCCGTTTGTTGTTATTCCTATGAAAGAAGGAGAGCACCGCATGGAGGTCAAGGCAGCTGTGAAAGATTCGTCGCTGCATGATGGAATCTGGAAGAATCTGCGGGTGGTGGTAAGAGAGAGAGAGACTAACTGTGTTAAATCAGCAACGACAAACATCATCATCATCATTAGGGGCTTAACCTTAAATCATATGTGTACTATATCAGCCTTTTCAAAATTAAGACTTACACAACTAAGCATGATGTACTTTGTTACTCATCAGCCGACCACTAATTGTAGTGAGTTGTAATGATTGTTCTTGCGGTTGTTTTTCCAGCCTCGAGGTGAACTAGTTACATCTCCTCAAAATGTAACTCTTGACCCCTCTAAAAATGGAATTGGTGAGTTAACGTGTGTGTGTGTGTGTGTGTGTGTGTGTGTGTGTGTGTACCTATATTACATAGTAGTTATATAATGGTTAGGTATTATAATGTTTTTATCACTTTGATCCCTTCAGCTGGTAAGCAAGAAGAAACTCTCAACAGTAGAATTCCTGAGGCAGATTTGATTCCGGGCACACCGACTATCACACAGGTCTCTGTGAC